TAATTGTCTTCTTCGATGACCTCTTAAAGTACTTCCAACGTTGGTTCCTGAGGTTCTAGCAGACGTTTGTGAAGTACTCCCACATCTACCAGTTCTTTGTAAACTACTCCCACGCTGTGTACGTTCCTCTCCTCTTCGAGAAGAAAGCCAAGTTGGATTTTGAGCATATTCATTTGAAGGATGTGTATCGGCATTGAGGTCAACACAATATATTTCTTCGTTTTCTTGGATTTCAGGAACATTGTGTTCAGGTATGTCATCACCATCGATGGCTGAAAAATTATGCAAGTCATCTTCTTCTGTTTCTTCAGCCAATATTTGTTGTTTTCGTTTGCATGACGACTGTTGAAGTTGTGAATAAACATCGTGTAATACAAAACATCGAACCATCACATCCCAAAACAGTGGTGGTTGTTTTTTAAAAGATTTTGTTACTTTGCATCTCTAATAAAATATTAACATGTATAGAGTTATAAATGTGTTGGATATATTTATTATATGATACTGTTTAATACAATTAAAAATATTATTACCAATTCACGAGCTTCCCATCATTCGTTTGGTGCGTAAATCATCGAAGTCTCTAGATCAACCGATATACCAGTAAAATTCATAAGAAACTTCCACTTTTTATATGCTTTTTGTAATCATTAAATCTGTTTTTTTTAAATGCATAATTTATATTCAAATTAAATGCACAGTTAAATTTCTCAACCATGTACTCTCTACCAAGAACCGTTGGATCTTTAAGAATATAATTGTTTATAGAAATTGCTTGATCATGCAACTCAATCAACATTTTTTCTTGTTCATAAGTCCATATAAATCTTGAAGTGGTCTACAAATTTAAAATATTTTATAGTTAATTTTAAAATTTTCCAAAATTATAAATAAAATGACTGATATAAATTTATAATAAAATTTCTTACTCTTGATGTAGTTTCATTGGGAATATTTGAACTTCTTTGTCTTAAAGGATTTGCGTTTCCTCGATTTCTTGATGACGTATCTGCATATAAAAAATGGCAAAAATATTATTAATATGTATAATACTATTTTCATAATCTAAAATTCTGCTGTAAGGTTTCATTAATTAAATGTCAATTTTTTATTAAAAAAATGTAGTAGATATATTAATAATGAAAATAGTTAAAGAAGCAAATAATACGTTTTCAACAAAAACACAAATAATTTTTTTAAGAAAATAAAGATATTTTGTTTAAAACATATTTAAACATATAACTAATAGTAAAAATTTATCATTTGCAGATTATGATTAAGAATAGAATTTTCTTAGTGATGCAAAATCTGCTATATTAAAATTTAATAAAAATGTTATAAAGAGAATACAAATTTCTAGATAACTAATTTACATAAGGATACTACGTAATTAAATAATCTTGTAAAATTAAGTAATTGAAAATTAACAATATAAGTTTAAGATATGGAAAATTTATATTTTTTCTTTAAAAAGAAATGTGATTACACAAAAAAAAAAGATAAAGTGATTGTAGATGAATAATAATCTAAGTTTTTTACATAAAAACAGTAAAAAAAGTGATTACACAATAAATCTGAAATAGAAAGCAATTGTTGACAAATAATAATATAAAATTTTCAGACATGAAAAAATACCATTCTTTAATTTTTAAAGAAAATGTGACTATGATTATATGATTTCAATATTTTAAGCTACCACAAATATAATCTACTATTTTTTCAGACTGAGAAAAAAATATACCTTATTTTTGTTTGAAAAAAAAAAATTGGCACCAGATGTAATGCGAGATGTAAGAAATGTGATGACACCAAGAAGTGTATGCAAATTGATAACGTACCCGTCTCTTTATAGACTAGATTTTTTTTTTTTGAAAATAATAAAGATAAATAAAACCACTACAAACCACCCTAAACCACTATTTTTAACGTCAAGTACAGGAAGAAGTGGACATTGGATGTTTACTTTTGAACAGTGACACATGGAGTGTTATTTTTTTTTTATTATTATTATTACTAGATCGTTTTTCCGCGCTACGCGCGGAAAACATATTTTGAAAATTTTCAATTTTTACATGTTTATAAATTGTTACATTTGACATAACATCTTTTTAAATAGTTGAATAGTCAATGTGGAATTATGGTGTTGTTTGTAAACTGGCTTGAATAAAATATAAAAATTGTATTATAAATTAAGTGCATGAGGAAAAAATAATAATAACACTGTTGTAAACTTAAATCATGAATTTAAAATATTATTGAATGTTGGTTTAAAACTAAAACCATTTTGAATATGTTTGATAGTGCAATATTGAATTGAGTAAAACAAAATTTGATAATACATAACATAAATTATTGTAAAAAATATAATACTACTATATTTCATGAACATATTTTTTATTTTGTTATATTACTTTTTTTATCATTTGTTACGTTTCTTTTAGAATGTTTAAAAAAATATTCTAGAAGTTTTTCACACAATAAATATATTATTAATTATATTACATTATCTATTTAGTTATGTTGAATTAATATGACATATAAATAATATTGTACCTCAAAATTTTGTTTTAGAAATGTGCAGTCATCATTTTATTTTTGTTTCTGAAGATATCTATCAGTATTATAATTGCGAAAATAGTGTTGCTATAGTACTTTATAGTTGATAGGAGACCATATCTTTAAACATATAATTTAGTGTGAAATGTTATTGAAAATGATAAAGCTTAATTTTTTTGGTCTAGATGCTAAATGTAAAAATATAATTTATATTGTTTAATGGTGTCTCTAGTAATACAAAATTTCAATCAAATTCTCTTTGTAACTAAACAAAACTATTCTGCATAAGGCAAAAAAAAAAAATGTCATAATCCTTAAATTAAGATAACACAACATTACTGAGAGCATTTCCCACCTTGATATGAAATTTGGTATTAAACTTTATTTTTAATCTCCAACCATCACACTAAACTTTACACGAAAACATTTTTTTATATTTATTAACCTTTTAATTTTGTAAGGAAGAGTCAATGTTCTAATTGCATGAGTGTGACTTCTTCGAACTATTGTGCTTGAAGGCTGTTTATAACATGTAGAAATTCTACTAATCATCTAAAGGGCTTTAGAAGTTAAAAAAAAATTTCATCATTTGTGATTGAAGATATTAAAACACAAACAGCCAAACAATAATCAAGGTATTAAAATGTTTCACTTAAGAATTGACTTGTCAAAAAAAAGAATTGACTTGTTGGTATATCAAAAGTTTGACAACTAATGAATTATTAAACAAAATAATTAATTAAATTTTTTAACATATGAAAGCTAATGAAATATATGAAGTCATAACTCAACTCTTTTAATAGTAAGATTAGGGCTAACTAAAATATCCGTCTTTAAACCAACCCAAAAATCAGGCTTCTGAACTCATCAGATCCCTGATAAATAACCGAATGCATCCTAAATTTTTGTATCGAAAAATTGGTACCCAATCTGAAGATATCTAAAAAGTGTATATATACATCTAAAAATATTAGTTATAATTGTACATATAAGTATTTTAATAGTTTAAATTAAAATAATAAATTAATTATATTAGTTACTTTTAATATTTTGTGTTTTCGGATAAAATAGGATATCATGAATAAAAATGCTCAAAACTGGGTATAATGAACTTTTTTGGTTATTTTTGGTACATTTGGATAGTTTGGATACAAAATACCTAAACTGAATTGGGTAATATAATTACTTTAGGTACAAATATCCGAACCCATTTAAGATACATTGGTTATTTGGCCATTTTTAGGTTCCTATATATCATAACTGAACCCAAATGCACTCATAAGGATTCGAACCGAACCCGATTCAAAATTTTGTAATACTCAAACATGACCTAATTTTAAAACACAGAAAACTACTACCCAAAAGAACCTACCCGACACCCGTATCCGAACGACCATGCCTATGATTTTGAGATTGTTTAAATTTGTGTCCACTTATTTGTAGGATTTGTGAGCTACTATTTATTCAAGATGTCCTTATGAACATAAGTACATTGACTTCTAAGAATTGAACTTTTTATTTTTGATGTGAATGCCACAATATCTGTTATGTCTAAATAACTTATTTACTAATTTACACAAAAAATCATTTTCTAATTTTCTCCTCTTTTTACCGTCCAATATGGCTCTCCATTATTTTTTTGGCTACCCCTTTGTTTTTTTTTAAGCTAGTTGTCCATTTAAATTATATCAAGTGTTAGCTAGAACAACTACTTCTTTGTTTTTGCTGAGAAAATCAAATGTTTGCGCTTTAGTTGTATCACTGGCCCTTCTCTTTTCTCCTGCCTACCACCCAAAAAAACACCATCAATTTGATGTCTTTCTCAAGCATTTTTATTACTCGTAAATGCTAATCAAAACACTCTTGGCACATATCAATATCAATGTAGCTTCTCTCTCTCTCTGCTCAAATTTGAAGGTTTCTCTATTTCTAACAGGATAACTATCTTCAGTCTTCTACATGTTTATTAATTTTGTTTTTTTGTTTCATTCTCTAAATATTTGTTGTCACCATATTTTGTCTCTCTTACCAATCATTGTATGGTCCAGAGGTCGATCTCTTCCTTCTCCATCCTAAATCTCTTCAACATGCCCAGATTAAAAAAGTTTGTTATATATTTTCTCTCTCTATGATTATTCAATGATTCAAATTCAAGTCTCACTAATATGTGTTGCTATTTAATTAAATAGTATGTAAACATGCATCAGAATATCTTACTGAAAAAATATTTTAAAACATGGATAAATCATATAACAATTATGTGGAAAACATACTCCAAAGCCCAAACTAAAACATTATCATCTCCCAAAGTGATTATGTAGGAAAATTTCATATAATTTGAAGAAAAAATGGAACCATTTGCAATATCTGGAGTAATTTAAAGACTCATAGCAAAAACATCAGTTGTTGAGACGTAAAAAAAAAATCATCCTAACTTCTCTGACTTAAAAAGTGTCGTTCTCATTCACACTCACTCCTTTACCATAGTCAAAGCCTGGCTCTGATGTTCCTCCATCAACCACTAATTGAGGATTGTTAATACTCTCATGTACTTCATATGTACTCTCTATCTTCGGTAGTGTCTCTTCTCTTTCCACAACCTCGCTCACCATTGAATCTCCCTTTTCTTCCAGCTCTTTATCCGTGATTGTCCTTAAGCTTCTAGGCACATGAGCCATTATAGTCGAAAGTGCATTCAACCTTTTCCTTTGTTCCTCTATATCCATGCAATCTTTCGGCAAAAAGAACTCCAAGACAAAGTCAGCTGAGCCTGTGTGGATGCAGCGTAAGCGTATAGCGACTGTGCCATGTAAGCCAAACATAGTTGCGTGGTGAGAGAGAGGGTACTCAGATTTCTTGTAGCTAGAGACATCAGATGAAAAGCAAGGACCATTGGTCAAAAACGCTTCTCCAACAACTCCTTGACCTTTCAAGAGATGGTGCTCAGAGCAAACTTCGTGGAACTCACGGACTGTAGGATCACCTACATAGCAAGCATCATCTATGGCGGAAACGCAATGGATGTAGTTATGATCGTTGTGACGGAAACCGGTTTTGCTTTGCTTAAGAGAAGACATCCTTGTTTGAGCTAATGGTAGTTTATGTGTCTCAAAGGCACATCTCAAGAGGTTTCTTATTTCAGGTAATGCAGCTTGGTAGGAGAATTCAGGTCCCCGATTACAAAGATAGAGGGGCAGAACCTCTTAGTAGTTAAAAAATAAATAGTAAACAAAGGCCAAACATTAAGAGAATTTACCTTCAGAGAAGGAGAAATTGGAACTTCTGTGCTTCTAAGATCAACAGCCTATGAGCAAAAACAAAATCTTAAGGTTCCAAAAAAACATATTTGAAAGATGAGACAAAGAACAAATGAAAAAGAAAACCTGAAGTGCTCTGCAGATGTTGTCAAGCTCAGGGCTTAGTTTAACCATTTGAGTGGTCATCACAACCTCAATAACACATAAGCAAGTCTTGCTACCTTGTTCAAACACATGAATAGCCAAAGTCCCACATACATCACAGTCTTGAGCATGTTGGAATCTAGGATACTCCTCGTTCTCGAAATACCTAACATCGGGAGTCCATTCAGGAACCTGCCCCAAGAAAACTCTACCAGGCAAACTAACCAAGTCCTTGAAACTTGAATCATCTTGTTCAGCATAGAATTGATAATTCTCAGAGATCTCTCTGTAATGAGCAAGCCTTTGAGACATTGGATCATGTCTAAAAGGCTGTTCCTTTGTGGTTAAAACTCTCTTACCTCCTCAAGACATGTTTTCCTCTATAAAAATTATTGTAACTTCTATGACAGTCTCTTGATCTTATCCATCTGAAAGTGTTTACAGAGGAAAACATGAACTGTTTAGTGTAGTTTGATGAGTATATCATCAGAATTTAAGAAAGTATCTGAGAATCCAAAACTACATGTATAAGCAATCAGAAATGTAAGCAACTTCATATCTCTCAACCGAGAAAATGGACATCATAAGTTTTAGAATGTAGTGACTTTAATCAACAAATGTATAATTCGGTATTCAATGCGATCTTGCATAAACAAAAAAAGTATGAATCCAAAATGTTTTCTGATATCATTTCAAAGTGTTGATTACCAGAATATTTGTCGATGGTTAGATCTCATCGACTTTTACTAACAGGATTTATCACACATGTACATGCAAAATAGACTGTCTGCGATAAGAAAACCAAAAATACATTCAGTTATACTCCATCTAGAAGACAAACACACTACTATACATGATATATCTCGGGACATGAAGTTCTACCTCATACCTCAGAGGAATTTTCTAAAGAGTACCATTCAGTTATAGACTCAATACGAAGGAAAATTCATGCTCTGCATATTAAAAAAAAAGCGCATTCAAGTACACATTTAGATAAACATTTCTCAGGCTTGATTACAATACTAATTTACATCAGTAATTTATAAACATTACTCAGGCTTAAAATTCGAAAACATGCATTAATAACTCCTTTGTCTCTGTTACTGAGCCATTGTTTAATAGCGGTGGCAAAAACTTAAGTCTGAAATCCAAAGCAGAACTATCAACAATTGAAAGGCGTTCAATACTATAGAAGCAACTTGCAGGATTATGAATGATTGAAGATGTTCAAGACTATATGGAGGAAGGTTGTCGAACTGTTTAAAAGCTACAAACCTTGGACAATAAGGAACAACATGTCTTAGCAGCAGTCTTGTTGCCTTATTCACCGTTATCATCAAATACATCGAAGAAGTGTGTCTATTCCACCACTTTCAGCATTGGATTTACATATTTCATCCTGTTTACAGAGAAAAAAAATGTGCGCAATGTATTACAGCAGGAAATAATATGAGGAATTTGCAGTGACTAACCAGTTAAATGTTATTAAAGAGAGCTTTATATTAGGATATATACTTACGTTTACTGAAATTGATTTTAACGTGATACTTGCTGATACCAAACTAGCGGAGCCAATCCCTGCCTATAGTGCTTCGGTGAGGGCTCTTGCAATCCCTAATTTGGCAAAAGTCCGCGATGATAGAGATCGTGAGATCTGAAACCGGAGAAGAAGAAGTGAGTCAAACAAATCGATGGTTAAGTCTCGTGTAAAAAACCCTAGAATTTTCGTCTGTGAACCAGAGGTGACGTGGAGGTGACATGGAAACTTAATGTCATGTGATTAATAGATTAAATTATCCTACGTGGACAATATAAAAACTCTAGAATAAGGACTTTTAATAGTGTTAGATTTTAAAATTTAGAGAATGCAAAACCAAAAAATAAACTAAATGGTGACATGTTTTGTCCAGTCCATTTCTATTTCTTGGACCACTGATGCCACTCAATATCTCTATCAAAAATAACACTAAATCAACTAACTATTTCCTAAATTTTTCTAATAAACTATTTTCTCTGTTTTAAAGAGTATCACTTTACATAAATTAAAAATAAGTTAAAGCTCTTTTATATCCTTAATAAATTATATTTAACTTGGATGATATCCATTATGATATTAAATGTATTTAAATTTGATTAGAACTTAAAATTGATATATTTATAAAAAAAAAATTAAATGACATTTTATATTAAAAATTCAAATAATAAACTTTGTAAAATGGAGAGAGTAGTATGTAAAAAATTATGACTTTACTCCTTAGAGTCTGTTCCATGCATAAATTGTTTTGTTCCATGCATAAATAATAATCGGTTCAAAGTCGTTATACAGAACTAGAATAAATCATTTTCAAAAAAAAAAACTAGAATAAAATATGTATCAGTGTCATAATTTTAAGCTGATTTTAATGTCATATTCAAAGTAAATTTTTAAAATTCAGTCATTACCCATTGAAGAGATACTATTATATTGATGTGATTCATAGGAATATGTCAAAGATTTGATAATTTATGTGTTTGTTATATATCTTTTAAATTGAGTTATCCGGTTACCATTTTAAAATCCTGTAGGATCAAACATGGAGCCAACTCAATTTCAAAAAATCAGAACAGCCCTTTTTCGAAATTGAAGCCTTTACTGCTCCGTTAAAAGAGAGGAGAGAGATAAACAAAAAAGGATATAGAGTTTCATCCAACGGTTTACATCATGACACGTCAAAACAGAACCGTGAGCCTCGGATACGTAACGGACCCTCCTCCCGCTCCCTCTTCAAAAATTTGATTTCGTATCAGTTACCTCTCCAAAAACACTTATAAACCCTAATCTCGCTATCTCTCTCCAACTTCGATCATCTCTTCTCCAACTTCACAACTTTCTTTTCTTGGCGCTGATTGTTGACCGAGGTAGGTTCTGTTGATTTTAGACCACGAAGAGAGTTAAGAAAGAATCTTTACTTAGGGTTGATCGTACGAAACTCGATTTTACATTCTTTGATTTCATGCCTACAGGTTACCATCAAGATGATTTGAAACTCAACGGAGCAGTTTTCGCGAATCGAGACTACATGCGGATTGTTGCTTCGCCAATTGCAGGTTTTTTCTTGAAGGATATGTTTATAGATTCTCTAAATAAGATGCTAAATTATGTTAGTTTAGATATGGATTCATATGTTGAAAATATTGTTTATTTATGTCCTCTTATGTAATTATCAGGAGATTTGGAGTGAAATGGGAGAGAATGAGGATGAAAAGGATGCTGCTTTGGCTGATATTGAGAAAGAGTGTCTCTTGGTTTACAAGAGGAAAGTTGAGGAGGCTAGTAGGTGTTAAAGCGAATCTGCTTAAAGAGATTGCTATGGGAAGAGCGGAGATTGCAGCTATTGGGTCTTCTATGGGAGGACAGGAGATTCATGTTAGTGGTGATTTGATTACTTTTTCTTCTTTCTTGTGTGAGTTATGGCATATATTGATAAAGATTTTTTTATTGCAGTGTAACAGCAGGATGGGTGAGAACTTGAAGGAGGAGCTTGAGAATGTTAATGTGCAGTTAGAGGAGCTGCGAAGAAAGAAAACTGAGAGAATGAATCGGTTTAAGGAAGTTATTGATCAGTTACTGAACTTGTCTTTTCAACTTGGAGACTCTACAGATTATCTGAAGAAACTTGGTGCTGAAGAGACTGATCTTTCGCTTCATAAGTTGGAGGAATTGCGTAGGCGATTGGCTGAACTCCAGGATGAAAAGGTTGGTTTTACCTTCTTATGTTAGTATTTAACATTTCAACAATCGAAACTGATCTCAAGTTTCTCTGCATTTATTTCCTTATGACTGTAGAGTAAGAGACTGGAAGAGGTAGATCGTTTGCTGGGAACGTTGAAGTTGTTGTGTTCGGTTCTTGGTGAAGATTTGAAGGACTTGATAAGAGGGATACATCCATCTCTTGTTGATTCCAACACGAGAGATGTGAGCAGAAGTACACTTGATAAGTTGGATTTGATGATTGGAAATTTACGAGGGGTCAAGTTACAGCGAATGCAGAAGGTTGGAAGTCTGAGATCTCTTTTCCAAAATATTATGCAAAATTATCTGCGTGCGTACAGTTTCTGACTGTGCTCACCTGTTTTTTCAGGTTCAAGATCTTGCAGTCTCCCTGTTAGAGCTCTGGAATCTTCTTGACACACCTACGGAAGAGCAAGAGAGATTTCACAATGTCACCTGCAGCATTGCTTTGTCTGAATCTGAAATTACCGAGGCCAATATACTCTCTGTTGCTTCCATCAAAGACGTGAGTGCACAGTGATTAACTGCTGGTTATATATAAGTCTATCTTGGTTATAACAATACAGGGACCAAGTTTTAATAAACGTCGGTTTGTTTTACAGGTTGAGGATGAAGTCACTAGGCTTAGCAAGCTCAAGATAACCAAGATCAAAGAGGTGATCCTTAGAAAGAAGCTCGAGCTTGAGGAAATATCAAGGAAGGTGCACATGGCACCCCAAGTTTTTTAATCAGACAACTTTTCAATTGAAGCTATAGAATCTGGTAAATCCTTAAAAGAAAAGCTTCTTTTATCGTTTACTAACCATAATGGTGGATTGACACATACTAATAATACTGTTACTTTCATCTTTCAGGTGTCAAGGATCCTGAACAGTTGTTAGAGAAAATTGACTCCGAGATTGCAAAGGTTAAAGAGGAAGCTTCAAGCAGGAAAGAGATTCTAGAAAAAGTGGAGAAATGGATGACAGCATGTGAAGAAGAGTCATGGCTTGAAGAATACAATCGGGTAAGACATTTGATCTTAAGCTCTTTCTCTGCTTCAGCTTTTCTTCTAAACATTGTTTGGATTCTCAGGATGATAATTGGTACAATGCGGGAAGAGGAGCTCATCTTACATTAAAACGTGCAGATTATTTGTGTGTTATCTAGATTATTTGTGTGTCCTCTAGATTATATGACAACCTATTATTTGATCATTTTCTCTTTGCCTTACTTTCTGCTGTTGTTGTTGCAGGGATGGTGGAGGCGTTGACAGCCAAAGTCAATGCTTGGGAAGATGAAAGAGGAAGTGAATTCTTATACGATGGTGTAAGTGTCTTTAATCATCAATGACATTGTTCTACATACTTATTAAATCAAAATCTATCTTTACACAAATGCACGTTTCCATAGGTCCGAGTTTTGTCGATGCTTGAGCAGTACAAGACTCTATGGGAACAGAAAGAGTTTGAAAAACAGAGACAAAAAGTAAGAAAACTAATTTCACAAGTAAACAATTCCTATACATTTGATCCCAAAAAAAAAATTATTGGCAATGTGACACTGTTGTTTTCATATCAGGATCTGAAGAAACTCCATGGACAACTCATCACAGAACAAGAAGCCCTTTACGGGTCAAAGCCAAGCCCAGGTAAAAGCGGAAAGAAACCATTGAGAACTGTCTTACCTTCGTCTGCCATGATTCGAAAACTCTCACTTGGTGGTGCCATGCTTCAAAGTTCCAAGCCTGAGAAGGCAACCCTCATCAGCAAAAGGAATACTTACTATGACCAGAACGCTCTTAGTAGAAGAGAGTCTACTATCCCAAATCCTTCAGGTATTACATATTAATAACACAACACAAGAGTGTGGTTTACCCTTCACAGAGACCAAGAGAAAGATATTTATGTTTCTTCAATTGTGTCAATATGTATAGGGAGAAGAAACTCAGAGCTTCCTGGTCGTCTCAGAACAAAGAACGTTCCAGCTGCAGGAAAAGCCGTGATGAACAAAGGGAGGTCTCCAATGCTTAGGAAGCCTCTTTCACCTGTTACTTCCAATATCATGAACTCCCCTGAAGATCACAAGGATACTTACACTACAAAGTCATCTCCTAAGACCAACGAAGAGAACAGAAGAACAGCGGAACCAATCTCTGCACCTGCAACCCCAGCAGCTTCAGTTTCTATGTCGGAGGCAAGAACGCCGTTTACTCCTGCGTCCTCGGCTATGAAGAAGAGAATGGGGGAAAAAGAAGGTGTTGAGTACTCCTTTGAAGAAGTTAGAGCCGGTTTTTGCTAAGCTGGATAATGAATTTGTTTTTGACTGCTTTTGTAGGAATTTCAGCAAAACACATTTTGTGTTTGTTCTTCACCAGAATAGTTTTTCCCACAGCGGATTTGTGTAAAACGTATGCGTTTAGTATACAACTGGCTTTATGGTTTGCTGTTGACAAAAAATTTTGTATTTGTCATGAATCGTTTGTTTTTTGCGTACAATCAGTACGTACTTGGTTTAGTCCGAGTGTTCAAACCTTGCAAGCTGCGTAACGTACATAGATTGAGTGGGATGTGTCCAAATGATTAGTGTTCCTAAACAAGCACAGAGCAAAAACAATACTCAGTTACAAGAACTAGTACAATGTTTTTGTCGTTTTGGGATCAGAAACATTTCCGGTGAACCACGGATGGTCCAGTCTCGTCGTAGTTAGCTTTAGTAACATGCTGATTCTGTCGAAACACCACCTTGGCTAGTATTGCTCCTCCTACCCAAGCCGAGTACAATCCCAAGTTCTCCGGCATATATTCCGGTGGTTTCACCAGCATTGGCCTTATAGCAGATGAGCACAAGTTTGCCTCTTTCTGAAACCTGCTTTCGAATCCTGCCAATGACGAATACACCACAACCTCTTTAAGTTTTTTTCTCCAAGCAATATCAAAACGTGAGATTGTAACAAAGTTATTAGTACATGTCGTTGAGGTTGTACCACCACAAAGTACAGTGTTCTCCAAGAGTTGCCTATGGTTCTCAGATGATACTGTGGAGATAATCCGGACAAGCTGTTCAACGATTCCATGCTCCTGGAGTCCCAATATATATGGCTGAAACATAGCTTCACCAACAGAGTATCTCTCTCGCCCAATGTTTATCACCTAGAAAGAAGACACAATCATTCTTTTATATCAATTTGTGAATAAGGCAACCCAAGTTGTAGACTCTTGATTTGTATGCACACAAACCTGTCCATCAGGAAGTGTATGCTGCTCCATTTCACAGTTTTGGGTTTTCTCGTAAGCAATCTCGTCCTCGGCACATGCTTAGATTCACCAAAGGGTTGGACTTTCTAAGCTCTTGGGCGAACAGTTTTGTAAGATCAGTTCCACCAAGCTCAAAGCGTTTCGAGGCAATGTGCTGCACAGCACCTTCAAGAACTGGGGCAATATCTGGGTACACCGGAAAAGATTTAAAAACAACTGAGAGATCAATCACAACGTTAAAAAAAAAAAACGTACATAAGTAACATAACATCATACCAATTATAACCAGCTAAATACACAAGGAACCTCCAATCTACAACAACTAACAGGAGAAAGAGTTATATGGTTTAACTAAACGTTTCATAACATGTAAAAATGTTTGTAAAGGGGAACAACAACTCCTGTAACATAAATCACATCAAAGATGGGAACATGACAATGTGAAAAGACACAATGCGAACCAAGTTATTATACTTAATTACTTAATAGGGTCAAGTTTCAAAACATCATACATAACCACATCCTGATCATAAACATCTACATACACAAGGAAACTCCAAGCTACAACAACTCCAGTAACATAAACCACATATAAGATATAAATATGACAACGTGAAAAGACACAGAGAGTAAGATCGTATCATAACACAGGCAAACCAAGCTATTATCATACCTATCTTCCCATGACCTATATCAAGAGTGCACCCGGAGATCCTCCCAACAGCATAAAGGGACAACACTGCTTGCTCTGATGCATAGAATCCAGACACATTGAATGTTTTAAACATCAACTGCACCAATTGCTCCCTAATAGCCTGCCCCCAAAACAATAATTTACCAGAAACAAATCAACTTCATTTACTTTAACAACAAAATGGGTCAAACAGAAACTCTTATCTTTTCAGTTAATATAACAACGTTGAGAAGATAAAACAGAGACCTTAGGAGTAGAGAAAGGATCAGTGAAGAATATATTGCCTTCATTTCCTTCTTCCCATCCAATCCCAGAGTAGACAATGTAACGCAACAGATCCTCCATAACATCCCAGTCTCTAATGAACCCTCTTTCAATAGGGTCAAGAGTGACATCTTCCAAAACAGTAACAGCTGAAGAAGATGACCCATCATCAATATCAACCATTCGTTTCATCTGAGATGGAATTACCATAGCAGGAAACTGATCAGGAATCGCTGCTCGTGCTTTCAGGAGCTTAGACCCAGCATCAATAACAAGTGCTTCCATTATTCTCTATCTCACACACTGACACACACAGCAACCCTAACTTCACAACCACGAAGTTAAGGAAGCTAAAGAAGAGCACTTTAGAGCAGGTAATCTAGTTAGAGACGGAGACAAAAAGGAGTGAAAATGGCTTTTAGAATTGAAAATGGAAGATGAGAGAGACGGAAACAGACAAACGAAGAAGAAAGTGTTGTGTTCGGTCCAAAGCTCATATCAGGCATAGACATTTCAGATGAAAGAATCTATTTACTAGACCTTTTTCAGGTAAATTCGGATTCAGTTCGGATACTAAAACTAAGAAACGAAAAATATTAAAAAAGTTTAGTTTTGGTTCTGTTTTTTCGGGTAGTTCGAGTAATTAAGATTAATAAATATGGTATAGACATTTCAGATAGATGATCTAGTTACTACTGGACCTAATATAATTTTAACTCCCCCTCCAACACATAATTTTTTTTCCAATTAACTATACTATTTTTTCAATTATTAATACATATTATCTTTTATCAAAATAATATATATAATATAAAATTATCAAAACCTACTTTGAAGAAAAGAATGATGTTCAAGACAATATTAATACAACACAACACATCACTACGCTGATAACTCCCACACTACACAGCATACATATTTTCTTTATTGCTATCTAGAACTTCTTTTTTGATAGATGCATGGAACTAATAAAACTTCAAAGAGATTTTTTATAGAGAGGTAAATTAATATTTGGAGATTAATTTATTCTACTAAAAAATTTCTATTGGCTGAAAAGTTGGTGGTATCAAAATTAGAAGTGGTAGAAGCGTATGCAAGACACCTGATTTTACCCAGATAAGACAAAAAAAAAATTTATCTTTCGGCAGATCTCCTACATTTTCTTCCTAAACACATAAAAAATGTGATTGTTAATTGCAGTTCACAAAATACCAGTGTACATGACATATGTCGATGATCTGGCTCACCATTCACACTCCAAAACATTTGATGGTGTTGATCAACTTTTTCACTAATAAAAGATTTTGCTATAAACACTAACTTTAAATATATTTATGTGATTTTACAAATAATGTATAATGATTGGCTTAAACAATATAGTTCATACTAAATACTATTTATGTTAATTTTAAAATTATAAGCATATAATTTTTAAATTTATAAGTATGACATCCAGTCAAAGACAAAAACAATATTTTTCAACAAAAAAGATATAAATCTTTCTATATAAATATCAACAAAGAGTTTAATATTAGTAACCTGCCGTTTTTTCAAAGATAATGTTGATTAACTAAAACAAAAATAGAAGAAGTACAAGCATCTTATGAAAAATTCAAGAAACATTTTGGTTGATCTTACAACATCTAAGATATTTATTTTTATATTTTGGTATAATTTTTTATTTTTTAATATATGATCTATAGTTTTGAACTGATTTTTTCATTCATAATTTATAATAAATTATTTGATCTGCATCTCTCCTGCATGATCCGCTTGATCTGGTCTTGTCCCACTTGATCGGCACTTGTCATGCTTGATTTGCATGAACCGCTTGATCTGTTTTACCATTCGAAGCCGGGTGAGATCTGCATGCAGATCTCCTACTTCTTTCACAAAAGAAAAAAAAAAATTGAACTGCATGCAGATCTACCGCTTGAACTGTTTCTACAAAATGAAAAAGGTGAATGGTGAATGCAGTGTGGGAGAACTGCACTTGTCCCGCTACTCCATTCGAACACATAATATATAGTGAAGCTTGTAGGGATGGTGAATGTTGGCGTAGATTTCGCTATCTGGTGTTTAATTTCTTACGTTTCCAAACTTCTGATATTGTGACGGATAATTAAAGATCGTATCTTGTATTTCATAAATAATAACAGTATGCGGTAATCACATCAACTTAGATTAAACAAAGTAATGGCTCACTAATTGTTGCATGTTGTTTATTTTATTTTTATGGATTTGTATTTTTGTTTTTAATGAAGTTGATTATGGACGAACCGTATGTAAATCTCACTGCTCAGGCTCTTTTCGATACAACTCGTATGATCATTCTCTGGGACGTGGAGAACTGTGCAATTTCAGATATATAACAAGGAGATGCGACAAAGGTTAACAGATTTCAAATACACAGGGGAAATTGAGATAATAGCCATGGTAGCATATGCAAATTAACAAAAAAAAAAAATTGTAACAGTCATTCAGGCTGAGAACGTACAAATTCACATTGCCAATAAAGGTTAAACTTTTCTTTCTTTTTACTATTTTTTTAGCAACAATTTGTTCTTTTTACGTACTGGTTTACTACAGTTTATATAGTATTTGTAGTAACTTTCTTTTGGTTTATATTTTCATTAGGTTTAGATCTCATAGATTTCATTATAATGAGTATACTTACCAATGACGTGTTACCATGCGTTCCAGCACCGACAAATCCCCTTCTTATTATTTGAGGAGAACTTTTTAAAAGAAACCTTTACTTCATGTGTTTATTACAACCATGCCATTTCCTACGTGGCAACTCCACAAGCCTTCTCACCCCTTTAAGCTAAAAGACCTTAATTAACTAGAATAATTACACAACATGCCATTGATATAAATATACCATATACGTATACACAACATGCGATTGATATAAATATACATATATGAGATAACAGTTGATATAGCAATAGTCAATGGCACATTTACTCCTCGTATATAGTGAACTATTATTAATTAGTGATCAATTTGTTACATGTTTTTGTACGATTTCATTTTATTGTCTACTGGGCATATATTTAAATTTATATTTTATATTTTAAATTTTCCTATAGAACGATTTTGTTACATTTTTTTGTACGATATATTTTATGTATATATATATATATTGTAAATGTAATATGTAATATAAAACATGCATATAGAATGATTTTAGTTACATGCTTTTGTACGATTTATTCAAAATATATTTCGTTACATAAGTATAAATAAAAATCGCAAATGCTATCACCTTATTTCATAATTCCTTATTTTCCTATTTTATTCAACATGCCTATAGAACGATTTTGTTATATGTTTTTCCCCGATATATTTTATATTTTATATTTTATTCTAGAAGGGGATATTCGTGTAGTATTAGTTGTGGGTACAATTATGTTCAATCAAAATTAATGGCCGAATCTGCATGCTTATTTCAGTTTCCCTTATATTCATGGATAATATCAGTTTCCCTTATATACACGAACCATTTGTTGTTATTGTATTCGAATATTGAATGAATATATTTCATAAATTGTCGAATATTAAACCAGACGACCCACTTTTACACACAAAGTTAATATTAAGTAAGTTCAGTCACGTATTTTTAGTAAGTAAATCTCGGAATTTTTTTCATTAGGTGAACGGTTTAATGGTTTATTTCCGATTGAATATCAATCACCTATATATAATATTCTGAATTAAATGAGATACTCATAAATTTGAACTTGCTTGATAGACAAGCACAAATCGTTCTTAATATACTAAAATAAATGCTACTTAAACATATATAACTCGTATTCTATACGTCCATTCAATATTCAATCATGTTTTATTTTTCTATGTTTTATGATACAATTATGAGAATTTTCTCATTATATCATGTTTTAATAGACGATTTCTTTAATTTTTTGTATCATCATATATCTATGAGACAAACAGATATATAAGACAAACAATGAAAACTATATTCTATGAATCATTGCTTCGTATCTCAACTATACTAATTTCTCATTATATGACTATGTGATTTTTATTATTGATTCACATCCACTACCTATTTTTAGTTAAACAAATTAATATACCAAATTATTGTTCGATCAAATTCAAAATCATCTCATTCCGCGCAGGGCGCGGGTCAACACCTAGTATCCTTGTCATTTTAGGAGATGGAAGGTTTGTGAATATGCTTAAAGATTTTCAAACCCTTGGCTACAATGCAATGGTATATGTTCCGCCCAAAAATCTCCTAACATTCCCAACAAGATGGATATGAAGAAATTTTATTGGATTGACTTTAAAGAAAAAAAAACAGCAGCGGAGGGGTGGGCTCATCCGAGACTGGGGAGAGTTCTGGTCCTTGAGCTTAATCTTTAATCACTCTACTAAGTTTGTCTTTTATTATGTAACTAGTAGTTTCTTTGAGTATGTACCATAACGTTTGTTTTCCTGTTAGAATTTTAATATTTTATATTGTTAGTTAACACTTGAAATTATAGTGTAAAATAAACTTATTTCTAGTAGTTTTTTAAATGGTGTGGTGTTTTATTTTTTGTTTAGTATTAGTCGTTTGATGATATTGTCATTTTTTCCAGAATGAGGTTGTTATTGGAACAACTGAACTCTCTTGAAGATCTAATATTTATTTACCATTTGAACTTATATTTTGTATGTGACAGAATGTTATTTATTGAGAAATGCGGCGTATGTGTATTTTTTTGTAAGAAGGAAAATAATGTAAATACTATTTGAAATAACAAACGAAATGGTTAATAGCTGGGTGGTTAAATATAAGAACTTGTTGAGTGAAGTTTATATATACTTATATTTTTTTTCTTATTTTCTCAGTTATTAATAGCAAACTATTATGTATATTCATTTGTGTCTAATTTGCTAAAATAATTTATGCTGAGATAGTTTTGCCTATTTGAACAATGAATATGATTGGCAGAGTCAGTGGATTTTATTTTTTTCCTTTAGAAAAAAAGTTATAAGTTTTTATGCTATAACTTTAGATTTTATTGATGTATATTTATATCAATAACTTGCAACTAAATATAAATTTCTGAAAAAGTTGATTTCCAAATCTATTTTATTTCCTATGTTAACTTTAGGACTGTATTTTTTTTTTTTTTTAGAGCACCATTGATCAATTAACGTGGATGTAGAAAGAATAGAAACTCTGGAAAGCACTCAGAGAATTTACCAATCACCCACAATATCAATGATTTTGATGGGAGCTAGAAAAAAGGTATACAGCAAAAATG